ACCCCACCTGGGAGACGCACAGTGATCATTCTGCACCTGTAACTCCACCTGGGAGACGCACAGTGATCATTCTGCACCAGTAACCCCACCTGGGAGACGCACAGTGATCATTCTGCACCAGAAAGGAACCTCACTGCACACAGGTCAGGGGGAGGAGACCCAGCTTCTGAGTCCTGACCCGATCAGGCTACCAGCTGCTGTCTGAACGTTACGCAGGCAGGCGGGAGAGCGAGAGTCGGTGGAAGAGCTTCACGGGTACAGATGTGCACACACTCCTGTCTGTGTCCATGGGCCAGTCTCTTGACCGGGAATGGAACTTCCTGATGTCCTGTTCCATAGCAGTTTGGTCCACTCCGCGTTTTCCAGTTTTGTCACGGCATTAGAATTGGACTGGTAAGCGATGGGTGTTGAATTCAGTATGCAGGGTCGAGCTGTGTGGCTCAGTGCCGTGAAAGTTGCCCCGTCTCTGCTGGTGACCCCGATGCGGTCGTTAGGCGTGGCGACGGTCTGTTCCAGGCTGGCGTCCTCCTCATCGTCGGTGACTTCACCGCTGGTCTTTCAGGATGTCCCAGAGGCCCTTGATCCTGCCCTGGTTGGTGGAACAGATTGACAGTACGCAGTACCCAGGAGTCTGTTGGACCAATCAGGAGCGCACGGAGTTCTGTATTCCCTGGAAGCATGGGCTGAGGCAGGACTCCAGCGAGCACGACACGCTCATATTCAAGGTCTGTCTGTCTCTCTCCCCTCGACATGCTTGCATTCAGTGTCCATCTCTTTATGGTCCTGAATCATACTAGCTGCTGCCGATCTCTCTGCGTCTCTCAGGCCTGGGCAGTGGCCAGCGGCTCGTTCAGGGAGGGAGTGGACCGGGCAGACCCCTCTGTCTGGAAGCGAAATTTCCGCTGCGCTCTGAAGGCCAAGAGGGTGGAAGTTGTAGCCGACCACAGCAATGACTCCGCCAACCCACACAAGGTGTACCGCCTGCCAGGAGTGCAACAGAGAGGTGAGGAAGGTGTGGTCAGCCCTGATACACTGACACGCTGCCTGACTGAGACTCAGTGCTCTGCTGCCCTGATACACTGACACGCTGCCTGACTGAGACTCAGTGCTCTGCTGCCCTGATACACTGACACGCTGCCTGACTGAGACTCGACGCTCTGCTGCCCTGATACACCGACACGCTGCCTGACTGAGA